TTAGATGTACCCCTTGCCCTAAACACCTGAAACAAATAGCTTAATTACAACACTAACTGAAGTCAAGTTGTGCTAATGAGCCTTAATTTGGAGTCAGGTTAGTTGAAGGAGACAAACATTAAAAAAGTTGCAGCACACCTGCCCTGGAGGATTTGAGTTTCAGATCGTTGTCCTACTGGGAAGAGGCCTAGGACACACTGGAGAGACTATAGCCCCATGTACACTACCCTTTTGAAACCATGCCAAAAATGCTCTGAGCATGGTAACCGGGATAACTGTTTAGTATAAATGGGACGTACAACTAAACCGGACCGTGCCAGAAACTAACCACGCTAAACTGGTACTAGTTCATCAGTAGGGCTCGGCTTTATCATTTCTGGCCCAGTTCTCAGATAACAAAGAGAGCATGAGCAGACTGCGCCATCTCCTTACAGTCAGCCTCCGTAATCATTTACGACATTCCTAAAAATACTAGCTTCCCTACCATGCCACATGATTTCCAGTGAGGATTCTGCTTAGCACTGTGATGATCCTCAACATCTGTTGCTGTTTCCTGCATCTGTAAGCACTGATTGGACTATCGTTTCCACTTCCCAAAAGCCAATTCCGTCAAGTAAATTCACCAAAGGCTCCCTTCTTTGCCTGACTCTCCACATCAATGAATATCACAATTATAACCAAACCTCTTGAATGTTACGGACACTGCCATGTTGATTTGCTTGTTTCCCTCTACAGAGCAGTAGTACCATAGATCGTCACTCGGAGGCGAGGAACCGTGCTAGGCTGAAGTGTAAATGGTCATAAGGAACCAAGGTCGCACGGTTAACTGATCCGAGCTCTGTCCGAACTCAGCATGGATCGGTTTTCAGAGGGTAGTGTAAATGGGGCTTATATCTTACGGCTGGCCTTGGAACACCTCAGGCTTCCCCTTAGTTATAGTCTCCCAAGTCTTGGAGTCTTTGCTGAGACTGTTGCCCCCATGACCCAGCCCTGGATAAGCAGAAGATGAAGAGTATGAGTATCTGGATACTTTGAAGATCGGACCCATAGAGTGCTACAGATTTTTTTTCTACTTTCTTCTTGCCACTCTTCCATTATGGCCTGGCTTTTAGAAAGTACACTGTATAGTGCTTACTTCGACAGTCTTCTCTGCAATTCCTCCAAAGTCACTATGGGCTTCTTGACTGCTATTCTGAGTAGTGATTTTCTGACACCTATGAAGAACATCCATGTATTTCCATGTTCAGAGGATCATTTGAACAGAGTTTTGGGAGCTGTTCAAAGAGTGAGATATTATTTCAGATCCTAACCCTGCTTTAAGTTTCTAATGAACGTTCTCCTTCACCTGCTTGCTGTGCTCCTTGGTCTCTGTATGTTCTTTGTCTTCCAGACTTCCCTAACACTTATCTGAGTCCTTTAGACAACAGCTCTATTTCAGAGATCGATTACACACAGTTGGACTCTATTTTCTAAGCAGGTGACTATTGAAGGCAATTGACATGGGTTGTATTTAGGGGTTTTAGAATAAAGGGTAACAAAAACACATCACCACTTTAACAGTCTTTATTTGTAAAAATCTGTTTAAAACAATATTTATATAATTATCAATTTAAATTTTTTGCAATAATCTGTGTTTGTAATTCACTTGAAAATGAAAGTTTCTCATGTGAGAAAAATGTGAATCAATTTGAGAGATGAAAATGCTTAAGGAATTGTATTCTAAACTGTTTCTTTGATATATCCTTTACCTGAATGTGCAAATTGATAATGGGCTGCATTTTCTTAAATCTTCATAGGTTTTCACAGTTCACAAAAACATTTGCTTATGGTCAGTAGAGACCCTATTTTATTATATGTTTCAATCTTTTTTTTTTTATATATCTAGCGCTTTGAATTGAACATAAATAAAACCTGTTTATTTTCCAGCTCTTCCACATGTTCGGTTCTGCTTTTGCTCACAATCTTAAATTCATTGCAAGCCTTCTGGTTTATAAATTTAAATCTTAACTCTGAAAGGTATTGCTTTAGATTTGACTCTAACCATTCCTATGGTTCATCTAGCTGCCTACTTCTTCAGTTCCAACAAAATGAAATTTCCTACAAATGTTTTTTTTTTCTTTTTTAAAGGGGGTGGGGCAATGTTTAAACATTTGATCACTTTGTCCCACAAGAATAGCAGACGGGAATGAAAGAACGCTTCAGTTGACAGATACAAGTTCTGTTCAGTGTGGTAAAAAAAAAAAAAAAAAAAAAAAAAAACCTGGAGTCTGTCGCCATCTAGCGTTTAAAGCGCGTACAAACAACAAGTGCCGGATTTAATGCCTGTTGACTGAAAGTGGCCCTTGCTTAAAAAATACAAAAATCAAACACTTCTAGGCTAAATAAAATTATGGAGAAAATATTGCAAATGTAAATGTTATAATTTGGGGGATTTCAATCAGATTAGGGACAGGTTTTTGGACAAAACTTCCCAACCCAGACAGCTGTAAGTGCTGCGTTTAGTTGACATTTTGAGACTCCTTCATCCACAAAAGAGAAATTATACTTTCTTTTCACACCGACATTCTATATATTCTAGAAAAGACTATTTCCTTGTGTCACGTTCCTTGGTGAGTCAAACGGTTGGATCTTATATTGGTAATATAGCGATAACTGACCATGCCCCCATTGACCTGTTCCTATGTTGTGGATAATGTTAAATCCTCACCTAGATGGTGTCTAAACAACTCCTTACTGCAGAATAAAGGTTTTTGGGAATATATTAGAACAAAGATGAGTGAATTCTAGGAGTGAAATGAAGGATCTATTGAGGATGTAGGAATGACCTGGGATGCTTTTAAAGCTAACCTAAGGGATATTTTCATTCAATATGGTTCCTCTATTAAAAAAGCTCAGCAAGATAGATTATTGAAATTAGAACAGGACATTGAGATTCTTCAAAAAGAACACATTCAACACCCTGAGAGAGAAGTGTGGAATTAATTATTAAGCAGAAGTTTGAGTTGAACTGCAGAAAAAAAGTTGAATGTGCACTGTTCTGTTTCAATCTGAAATATGTTGAACAAGGTGAGAGAACAGGCAAAATGCTTTCACATAGGGTTAGACAGATACAGTCCAATAATTGGATAAAAATGGATACAATTGGTCTATACAGATGCAATGGCCACAGTTCTTACCAATGGTAAGATGTCACCATCTTGCAATCTTAGTCGTCGCACTAAGCAGGGTTCTCCTTTGTCATGTGTCATTTTAGCGTTATTTCTAGAATTGCATTGCGTGAATGTGAAAACATTAAAGGGATAAAAATGGGTCAAGAGGAGCACACACTTTTTCTGTATGTTGACATTCTTTTTATTTCCAGTAACCCAGGCGTGGCAGTACCCTCAATCACTTCAAATATTGACTCTTTTTCCAAAATTTCTGGTTACACAATTAATTGGTCCAAGTCTGAGGCCATGCCTCTATCTAAATCTGTCCTACAGCCATTAGGAACCCATGGCAATTTAAGTGGATGCCAGCGGGATTGAGATATTTAGGGATTAAACTGATTAAACTGGAATTAAACATGCCAATATTTTTCCAATGATTCAGAAGATCATTTTACTTTTACAGAACTGGGTAAAATGAACCTCTCCTTATTGGGCAGAATTTATTTGGTGAAGATGATTGTCTCTCCTAAGATCCAGTATATTATATATATTATACAATTAACAAAGCCACTGTTTAGTGGGCCTAGATTATACGCATTTAAAAATAAAGGTGGGTTGGCTTTGTCCAGGTATCATTATGCATTTTCTCTCTCCCAGTTAACACCAACTTAATACAAATCCTTATCTTACATCTAGAGCCTCTATTTGGTATAGTTTGAAAATTCTAATTGTTAAGAAAGCATTTATGTGGGTTCTACGGTTCAGCTCTGAAATTAATCAGGTTAGACGTTTATTTGGACAAAATGGTAGAAATCATTGTGAAATCCAACAGGATTTTTAGATCAAAGACAACTTTGGAAGTTTCTACAAATTAGATACTGCATCAAAGATGTCCCTAATGGTATCCAGTATTCAGGAGATATGTGTCACGCCTGGCAGTAGTAGTAGGGCATCAAATTTCCATAGGGATATTAGAAAAGCTTAAAATATTGGACCCCCAGTAAATTAGCCAACCTAAGATTAACAGAGGAGGATTCCTGCTGGAAATGCCAGAAAGAAGCAGACAACTTAGTTCACATACTCTTTGGTGGTGTGAAAAAAATTATCAGCTTTGGGCTGGAATTATTACTGTATTGAATGCTCTTTTTGTACTTATTTTGTCCAACTGTATTTTGCCTTATGTATTTTGGGTGTGTTACTAGAGAACATTAGTGTATTCGGAAGACAGAGGCTCTAGATACAATTAGAAACCTTAACTGGATGTAGGATAATACTGAGGCATTGGAAATCAGCTATTTTTTGGGGAATAGACAGAGCTGATGATTAAAACAGCCTTGTATGAGAGGATAACCTTCAGTCGTAGAGGGAGAGAAGATCTGTTCAATCAGGTTTGGGGGGTATTTTTGAATTTTATAGAAAACATGAGGGGATAAATGTGATATGATACTCCTGTACAGATTTCAACAGAGGTCAACGTTTGATATATGGTATAACATACGCACTTTTGTCGTTTGTTTGTTCATTTTGGTTTGTAAGTTTCCTTAATATACCCAAAAGGGACAGAAAACTGATATATATCTATAATCTTCTTGATTTAATTTATTTTTATGCTTATCTGCCAAAAAGAAAATCTAATCTCTTTAGAACAGTGATCTGGACATTGATGTCTGACTTCTGCTTCTTTAAACACAACTACAGTCAATTTGTTAGTAAAAGCAACCGCGACAAGTTGAAAGTGACATGATTACCACATTTTTTTTCAGACAAAATTCTCAAATTGTAAGTTCTGTTTCGTGTAGACAACAAAGATGTAGATATTTCATCCACCTTAAAGCAAAGACCTCAGACTAATGAAGGTTACAAAACAAAGACAATAGCATTTTATTGATTTCAGTTTCTGCTGGCACAGCTGTTACCTTTTCCTGGAAAAAAAAATAATTTTTAGTAGACCACAGTGTTGGTTACATTTATATTTTATGTTTGAATTAAGGACAGAGTTTTCGGTTTCTAAACTAAACAATTTTTGTACTTCAAACTACTGAACTTAAACACAGCTGCACTTAAAAAAAAAAAAAACTAGAGGTATTTACATCTAAAAAAAAGCACCATACACAGGACTTAATACAGAACACGCAGTTTAAAAAGAAATATGGTAAAATGTTGTTTTTATGGTTTGCAGAGTCAAGATTTTGTCTAGTGGCGACCGCCCTCCCGCCCAAAAAAAAAAATGCAGTAATAAGATGATAGGCTGCTAAGTAATGATTATTCAGAAGCTTTAACTTTATTTTATTAGAAACGAAAAAACATGAAATGCATCAGAAATAAACCAATATGCAATATACCAGAAAGCCGGATAAGAAAAAAATTGAACAGAATCATGTTCTAGCCTTTTGACTGAAATTATAAGCAGCAACTTTTCCGCTGAAGTTTGATGCTCTACTACCATCATATTAAAACTATAAAAAAAAAAAAAAGAAAAGAAAAGAATATATATACACAACAGGGCGATTAGAGCAGATATAACTGGACTGTTTACAGGAAAAGCAAACAATCTGCATACTTGAAGCTTCTGACTGGAAAGTGAGAGAAAGGCATCCAAACATGAAAATATCTTAATTATATATACTGTCTATTATCATTTTCAATAAGAAAAGAAAAACAAGAAGGGGAGTCCTCTGGGACCATCCTGCTTGCCTGAAATACTAAAACTGCGTTACAATGCTGCTCTTCAGTGACGCGGTCCACTCAGCCGAGAATGGGGACCAACTGTAGAGAGATTAAAAAGATGCAGAATGTTTTAGTTGTAAACTAAAACTGCTAAAAATCATCTTTAGACTTATTCTGGATTTAAGTGTTTCTCATAGACCAACAGTCCTAAATGAAATGATTCACCTGGAGTTGAAAGAAGAGGAGGACGAGAACTCTTTGAGGACGAAGGAGTCACCCTGGCCCTGGGCGGGGCCCTGTGGCCCGAATAGAGAGGAGGCGTGTGGTGGAGCAAGGGTCCTCGAGACAAACCAGGAACACCGTAGGGATCAAGTGAGGACGGGGGAGGCCGAGACATACCAGGAGGAGATCGATGCAAAGACAGCAGCGGAGGAGGTTTGGTTTTGGGGAAAGAACCTTAAATGGAAAACATGTAAAGAAAGGGAGACGAAAACAAGAAAGCTGTTAAAAAAAGTACAATTCCTAGCAATGTAGTCATAATAGATGCATTATTACTATTTTAATTATCTAGTAGAGTCCATCTGTGATTAAATGCTGGTCTGTTTCTGGCTCATGAGATCATTGGGAAACAAACAGTATTATGAAGAACAAAGGTCAGGGAGAAAGGTGAGAAGGTTAAAAACAATAATAAGTTCAAGAAGAAATGTTATCTTAAGAAGCCAAAAGGCCAGTGGTAACTCTGGACGAGCCACAGGGACACAGAGCTTCATCAGGTTTTGCTGAATAATCTAGCCTTAAAGAAGAGTGGCAAAGAGAAAACCGAGGTTAACAGAGAGAGAAAACATCCTGTAAGCAGCATTTGTTTGGATAAACTCCTTTGTTTGGTGAAATTAAAAATAGTAAACCAGCCTGATCATACCATCCCCACAGTAAAACATTCTGGCAGCAACATACAGTGGGGATACTTTTCTTCAGAAGGAACGCTTGATTATGCCAGAGCTGATGGATGGAGCTTAAACCTGTTAGATGCTGCAGAAGACCTGAAACTGGGGAGGAGCTTTACCCTACTGGACAATGAGACCACCGCTAAAGACCTGCAGCCCGGAACAAAGAGGGAATCTTCAGAAGTACTGGTTTCAGCAGAAGATCAAAAATAGACAACTGTATTTAATATAAAAAAAAAACTAGAAAATCAGATGTGTCCTACTCAGTGCTTGGAAGAAAAAAAAACATTCATGTGATTGTATAAAAACCGAAACCAATGTCTAAAGCAGGCATCCCCAAACTTGGTCCTCAAGGCCCCCTGTCCTGCAGGTTTTAGAGGTTTCTCTGCTTCAGCACAGCTGGTTATAATGATTGCAGTAGACCAAAAGCCTGTTAATCAGCTTTCAATTAAAATCAGCTGTGCTGGAGCAAGGAAACCTCTAAAACCTGCAGGACAGGGGGCCTTGAGGACCGAGTTTGGGGATGCCTGGTCTAAAGAACCATAAGTGTTAGCTGACTGAATGCACATTCAGTAAAATAGGATCACTGCTTGCAGTCCTCACCTGGTGTCGGTAGAAGACCAACAGATGTAGATGAGGAGAGGTTCCCATGGGACCCTGACGAAGACTGAGGCTGTACTGATGAAGGAGGAGTAGGAAGCAAAGGAGGTGGTTTCCCCAATCCTGGAGGAATCATGTTCCCCTTATCATCCTCATCATCTAATTCCAGGGCTGAGAAGAGAAAACCAAGACTGTAAACCACAAGCATTTGTTCAGACCCAGTACCAGACCTACAACCAGTTACCAGCGTTTCACCTTGCAAATGTTCCTGCCGGGAAGCAATGTACTCAGAGATGGTTTCCAGCTCCTCAATATACAGATGCACTCCCTCGGCTAACAGTGACAGTAGATGTCGGGTTTCCGAGGGAACTGTGTGCCGTGCAATTTTTTCTCGATCAAGGAAGTCGTCCAGAAGCTGTGACGCCTGCGCCGCAATGTCTGCAGGATCCCGAGGTGAAGTCTCTTTAAGGAGTCCACGATTGTACTCAGCTTGGACAAAGTCCAGAGCCTGGTCTTTGGGCATGTTACGGTGGACTGGGAGGAAAATAGGAGAGTTAACATCAAGATGGAACAAAATGCAAGAAAAAAGCTTATCGTTTTCCCAATATATCTGGATACATTTTTTAGTTTTTTTGTTCAACAGGTTTAATGATAGAGTTTTGGGTCACTGTGTGAATGGTTGTGCAGGATGTATGAAATGTATTTACAATGTTCTGCTGCAGTTTGTATTGTGCACGTTCAAGAGAATTCAATGACTGAGGATTTAGGTTTTATGCTGTGGACCGTATGGACCAACATAACATTTCATTGTGATTTCAGGGGCAAAGGCTGATTTTTCTAAAATTATTCTGGGTGATTCAATAACATGTTTTCTGAAGTGTTTTTAATAATAACTGGAAAGTCCACTTATCAAAATCACATTGGATCTCAGTTAATATTTCCTGCTAGGATTTTGACAGTCATCCACAAATCCAAGTTTTTTCCTTCTGTCTAAGGGGTGTAAATAGTCTATCCATTTTTCCTCCGTTAGTCAATGTGAAGGCTTATTATTTTATAAGTGAAAGTTGTAAACACATGAATTTCAGAGCAAAACTTGTAGAGACAAAGTTTAAAGGTTTGGGATGAGTGGATTGAACAATATGTTTGATGTAAATTATGAACTTGCATTTCTTAAATTTTTTTTTTTGCCTTTTTTATAGAATACTTTCTGGGATTAAATCTTTGATTACTTAGCGCAATTTCAATTGCTTCTTTGATAACAGTTTCCTCTAAACAGTGCCACATTTTCATGGTAATTGCATTAGTTGGATAAGCAAGATTAAAGGTTCGGGATGCGTCTCACAAACTTGAAAGACGGAATGAAAGCCAACTGCTCTGTGCCATTTATGCCTGCGTGACAAACATTACAGCCTGGGTGACCTGTGGTAAATGCTGGTGGGATAAAGCTTTACAAGCCTTTTTCGATTGTGTATGTTTTTCCAATGGAGAGTTTCCTCTTTGTATGAATGGAGTGCTTAAAGTTAGTTTTGGTTTTAGATTTTATTATGGGCTTAAAATAGATCAACTTTGTTGGAATCTACTGCTTCAGAGGAAAGACTCATTTGTTCCATTGGTAAAAAAAAATTTTCTGATGATCCCAGCAAAAATAATTTTAGTACTTCCATTAAAACTAAATTCTCGCTGTTTGGAGTGTCTGCAACAAGTACTTTATGCCTATAAAGAAATCAAACAAACTGTTGGACAAATGTAGTTATGAGTTAAAAATTGCAGGGGGGAAAAAAAAAACTAACTCATTGCCTGGTAAAGACAATTATTAAGATTTTCATACAACTCGGTTGATTGACTTGGCCATTGGGGAGATATTTCTTTTTCTGAAGCCAATGAAGAAGTTCCTTGATTGTAGTAAAATACTCTGTCATGAAACAAACGCACAAAGATTGAGGTTTAAAAAGGAATTGTAGGGGGGCTAGCCAAGGACCAGCGAAGGAAAGTGGGGAAATCTTTAATGGCCACTACTGTAGGTCTTTCTGAAGGAGGTGCTCTCTGGCTTGACTTCTAAAGTCACACCTTGACGACTTAGCCAGCATATGTCTGGCGTACAAAGAAGCTGGCAAAAAAGCTGGCATACGTTGGGTAAGTTATGGGTCAGTTTATTATAAGTTTTGAGCATGCTGAAGCACTTCGGCACATATCGACATACGGCAAATACATCGAGAAATTTTGAACATTGTCAAAATTTCTTGACTTATGCCAGCATATGCTCGTACGTGGGCTATAAGTTACAGGTAAGTTATTTGATCGTTGACATATGTTAAGTGTAAGTTACTCTTGAGCCGTGATGTCTAGCTCATTGAAAACCTATGAGTAACTTATGCATAACTTATCAAGGACTTATCTCCAACACATATCAACATATTTGACATGCTCCAGATGACAGCTTAATGTGTTTCTAACTTACAGTAACCAAAGGGTGAGCGAGTAGGGGAGTGATGTATCCTCCCTGCGTTTACTCCCATGGCCAACAAACTTATTTGGATATAATTTAGGGATTCCTTCTGGTAGAAATTAAAGAATGTTTAGTACAACCTCTTGTGAGCTGGAAGAAATAAAATATTGATAGTTCGACGAGGGGATTTGTTACGGTTGGCAGAGGATGATCATCCCCATAGTGTATCAAGTAGCGAGAGCAGGAAGAGCCATGCTGCTGAGAGCGAACCATCAGTGTGGAGCATGAAGCGCAGACTTAGAGCTCCGCACCCACAAAGTCAGAGTTGAGCACACAGTATCGGACCATTCCCGGTTATTTTCTCAATCCCTGCCACTGCCGCCATGATCCATCTGTGCTCCTGCAGCATGTGCAACCATGTGGGGCAGTTGGGCGGCAGGATCAAACAGGAAGCAGCTGCATGGCTGATACTGCTTTGCAGATTACAGCACAAAGATGCATTTTAAATGTCTGACCAACAACCTGCTAATTTTTATTTAGTCTCGTTGATTAAAACTCAAACCTATGACTAGTCAAGTTTTAGTCATCAAAGATCCATAAGTTAAGCTTGTCAGATTTTGCTATAGTAATAAAAAAAATATAAAAAATTCGGAATGATTTAGTCATCCTCGTTGTTGACAAAAACACTGCTGGGACGTGAGGCAAATGCTGGCTAAACCATCAAGGTGTGACAGGGGAAATGATAAACAAATGACAGGACAAATCTACTCAAGAATCTCCTACCAGAGAATGAATGACTCAGTTTACATGTTTTTTCCCCCCATAGGCTTCAATGTGCATTTATTACATTTGTCATTTTTTCGTCTTTTTTTTTTTTTTTGCAGTTAAATAGAATCAAAGACTATTTAACCAAAAGTTTAATATTGTGAATTTTTAACTCCGCAGAGCTGAGTTTTAGTTTCTCCTTAAAAGATTTGCTGCATTTAAAGCCCTAGATGTAATGCAATTTACTGATGGAATCTGCAAGTTTTATGCACAATTATAATGTAAAAGTTGAAAGAGTAATCTGTGTTTTGGTAAGGGATGCACTGAAAATTTGTCCACCGAAACAAAAACAAAAAAAACATGTATTTTCAGGGTTGAATGCCCAGAAAATAGGTGTTGAGTGTCAGTGTGTGAGTTTAAACACTGCCCATCGGTTTCGCTGTGCACTGAGGTAAGGGGCACAAAAATTATGTGGTAGAAAACCAACCGATACCAGACATCTCCACTCCATCTGTGGCAAAGGTGTTTGAAAAGGGAAGAAAGTTTCCAGGTGATTCTACCAAGGCAAAGGGCAAAAAAAATATATATATATTAAAAAAATGTAAGTGGTAAACAAATATTTTGATAATTTTGTAATGCATTTATTGAAATGCCATGAGTTGTGACATTTGACATTTATTTTAGTGCTTTGGTTTTAGACCTTGGTTGCCCCATTTTTTGTTTTCGGTTTCGGCCAAGATTTTAATTTCCGTGCATCCCTAGTTTAGTTTGGTTAGATAAATAAAAAAAAAGTATCAGATTGTGTGTTAAAAAAAATGAAAAATAATCAAAGCGTAGCATAGATCACAGTTTTGAAAAGAAACAAGGGTTCTTACTAGGCACGGGCCAGCAACTGGTTTCAGTGCATTCATGGATTAAAAAAAATAAAATAAAGTGCTGACGTTTTTAAGTCATACGCCTACTGCAGTTTATGATTTTTTTCCTCTTTTTATTTTTATTTTTTTAACAATTCTCAGGTTGCTCATGTTGAAAGCATCTGCGGCATCATGGCCGCTCCCTATGTGCATCCCTGTGTAGGCTGAAGGAGATAAGCACATCAAATTCTTTGCCCTGCTTTGGCCCTTTCTGGCAGGGCTTGTGCCCAGAAACTTAAAGTCAGCTATAGTTCAGTACCACAAAAAGACTGCGGCTTGGATATAGAAGGTTGCTATTGGATACTGGTGACAAGAAAAAGCAATACAGTTAATATAACAGCGCAACTTACTGTATGTTCTCTTTCATCCTTTTAGACATAATAAAATTGGCTGAGAGGTCATCTGCTTAACTGTTTCTTCTTCCTGCCTAGACAGAGGTACCTATGGAGCGAGTTTAACACAATTTTGTTTTCTACAGTAAAGTATTTGTAAATCAGTTCTTGCATTTATATTTTTTGTGTGTGTGTGCGCGCTTTCCAGATGGCCTTTGCAAAAGGTTGCACAAATTGAGTCTGATTGTTCTGGAAATTATTTCTAGTTAAAAATGAGTTTTTTCTCTGCACAGTCGCAGCATGTATGCTTGGGTAAGGGGTTGCTCCAGTAAGTGACATTACAATGCAAGCAAATGTCTACTGTTGCTATATGCTTGTTAGAGGAGCAAATTGTGCAAGGTGAATGGGTCAGTAAAATCTGCTGGTTTACCATGAGTATAAAACTTAATTTTTCAGTAGATTTGACTGAATTAAAAATGTTAAGTGTCTTGAGATGTGTTGTGAATTGATGTTATGTTAATAATGTGAATAAAAAAAAAAAAATAAAGTAATTTAACTTGTCAACCAGAGTGTTTTGGAGTGGTTGGAATATGTTTTTCATTGGTTTTGAGTGAAAGTTGAATGTACTGAATTTCTTTGTAGCTATAGCCACGCTTTTGGTGTACAATGGAATATACTAACAATGTATGCTGCTTCTTTTGGCTTTTAATAATTTATAAAAGTGAGAAAAAACAAAATGGAAGTGAGACCTGCAAGGCAGAAAATTTTGGCATGACATATGTGGTCTAAAAACACCTTCCACTGACCATTAGGCTAAATCTGAATGTAGAGAATATGGTAAATATAAGCCCACGACTCAGCAGGCCCACATACTTTCCTATTTTAAATTCAGACATTTCAGAAAAACTACAATACTATGAAACCGTGATATTTAGGCATAAAGTGATGATCCAGTAAGAATGTCATACTGGTCCATGCACTATTGTACTGTACGTATTCAAGGTAGACTTGAAGGATCTCTGGGGATAGGGACTTACTTTTGAGGGACTCTGAGAATATGATAACAGTGCAGGAGGTCAGAGCTACATTTTTCTGCTCCACCAGTATACATAACGGGGAGCCATCTGCTCGGACATCCTGCAGGGCCCGGGTGAGGCCTGATTCCGCTTGAAGGTAGAGCATTTCCACTGACAGGCCACGCTCCTGCAAGGACAGGCTTAGCGATTTGGGGTAATCCCTTTGAGAGGAAGAGAAACACTTTGTTAACTAGACTTTCCTGTGGAGATAAATGGTTTAGTTTGAATTATTTTAAATCAACAAAGAAAATAAATTATCTCTTTAGTGCCAGGTGCTGATCAAGTCTTTTCCAGATATGAAATGTGCAAGAANGGGGGGAAAAAAAAAACGAACTCATTGCCTGGTAAAGACAATTATTAAGATTTTCATACAACTCGGTTGATTGACTTGGCCATTGGGGAGATATTTCTTTTTCTGAAGCCAATGAAGAAGTTCCTTGATTGTGCGTTTGTTTCATGACAGAATATTTTACTACAAAGATTTGGGTTTAAAAAGGAATTGTAGGGGGGCTAGCCAAGGACCAGCGAAGGAAAGTGGGGAAATCTTTAATGGCCACTACTGTAGGTCTTTCTGAAGGAGGTGCTCTCTGGCTTGACTACTAAAGTCACACCTTGACGACTTAGCCAGCATATGTCTGGCGTACAAAGAAGCTGGCAAAAAAGCTGGCATACGTTGGGTAAGTTATGGGTCAGTTTATTATAAGTTTTGAGCATGCTGAAGCACTTCGGCACATATCGACATACGGCAAATACATCGAGAAATTTTGAACATTGTCAAAATTTCTTGACTTATGCCAGCATATGCTCGTACGTGGGCTATAAGTTACAGGTAAGTTATTTGATCGTTGACATATGTTAAGTGTAAGTTACTCTTGAGCCGTGATGTCTAGCTCATTGAAAACCTATGAGTAACTTATGCATAACTTATCAAGGACTTATCTCCAACACATATCAACGTATTTGACATGCTCCAGATGACAGCTTAATGTGTTTCTAACTTACAGTAACCAAAGGGTGAGCGAGTAGGGGAGTGATGTATCCTCCCTGCGTTTACTCCCATGGCCAACAAACTTATTTGGATATAATTTAGGGATTCCTTCTGGTAGAAATTAAAGAATGTTTAGTACAACCTCTTGTGAGCTGGAAGAAATAAAATATTGATAGTTCGACGAGGGGATTTGTTACGGTTGGCAGAGGATGATCATCCCCATAGTGTATCAAGTAGCGAGAGCAGGAAGAGCCATGCTGCTGAGAGCGAACCATCAGTGTGGAGCATGAAGCGCAGACTTAGAGCTCCGCACCCACAAAGTCAGAGTTGAGCACACAGTATCGGACCATTCCCGGTTATTTTCTCAATCCCTGCCACTGCCGCCATGATCCATCTGTGCTCCTGCAGCATGTGCAACCATGTGGGGCAGTTGGGCGGCAGGATCAAACAGGAAGCAGCTGCATGGCTGATACTGCTTTGCAGATTACAGCACAAAGATGCATTTTAAATGTCTGACCAACAACCTGCTAATTTTTATTTAGTCTCGTTGATTAAAACTCAAACCTATGACTAGTCAAGTTTTAGTCATCAAAGATCCATAAGTTAAGCTTGTCAGATTTTGCTATAGTAATAAAAAAAATATAAAAAATTCGGAATGATTTAGTCATCCTCGTTGTTGACAAAAACACTGCTGGGACGTGAGGCAAATGCTGGCTAAACCATCAAGGTGTGACAGGGGAAATGATAAACAAATGACAGGACAAATCTACTCAAGAATCTCCTACCAGAGAATGAATGACTCAGTTTACATGTTTTTTCCCCCCATAGGCTTCAATGTGCATTTATTACATTTGTCATTTTTTCGTCTTTTTTTTTTTTTTTGCAGTTAAATAGAATCAAAGACTATTTAACCAAAAGTTTAATATTGTGAATTTTTAACTCCGCAGAGCTGAGTTTTAGTTTCTCCTTAAAAGATTTGCTGCATTTAAAGCCCTAGATGTAATGCAATTTACTGATGGAATCTGCAAGTTTTATGCACAATTATAATGTAAAAGTTGAAAGAGTAATCTGTGTTTTGGTAAGGGATGCACTGAAAATTTGTCCACCGAAACAAAAACAAAAAAAACATGTATTTTCAGGGTTGAATGCCCAGAAAATAGGTGTTGAGTGTCAGTGTGTGAGTTTAAACACTGCCCATCGGTTTCGCTGTGCACTGAGGTAAGGGGCACAAAAATTATGTGGTAGAAAACCAACCGATACCAGACATCTCCACTCCATCTGTGGCAAAGGTGTTTGAAAAGGGAAGAAAGTTTCCAGGTGATTCTACCAAGGCAAAGGGCAAAAAAAATATATATATATTAAAAAAATGTAAGTGGTAAACAAATATTTTGATAATTTTGTAATGCATTTATTGAAATGCCATGAGTTGTGACATTTGACATTTATTTTAGTGCTTTGGTTTTAGACCTTGGTTGCCCCATTTTTTGTTTTCGGTTTCGGCCAAGATTTTAATTTCCGTGCATCCCTAGTTTAGTTTGGTTAGATAAATAAAAAAAAGTATCAGATTGTGTGTTAAAAAAAATGAAAAATAATCAAAGCGTAGCATAGATCACAGTTTTGAAAAGAAACAAGGGTTCTTACTAGGCACGGGCCAGCAACTGGTTTCAGTGCATTCATGGATTAAAAAAAATAAAATAAAGTGCTGACGTTTTTAAGTCATACGCCTACTGCAGTTTATGATTTTTTTCCTCTTTTTATTTTTATTTTTTTAACAATTCTCAGGTTGCTCATGTTGAAAGCATCTGCGGCATCATGGCCGCTCCCTATGTGCATCCCTGTGTAGGCTGAAGGAGATAAGCACATCAAATTCTTTGCCCTGCTTTGGCCCTTTCTGGCAGGGCTTGTGCCCAGAAACTTAAAGTCAGCTATAGTTCAGTACCACAAAAAGACTGCGGCTTGGATATAGAAGGTTGCTATTGGATACTGGTGACAAGAAAAAGCAATACAGTTAATATAACAGCGCAACTTACTGTATGTTCTCTTTCATCCTTTTAGACATAATAAAATTGGCTGAGAGGTCATCTGCTTAACTGTTTCTTCTTCCTGCCTAGACAGAGGTACCTATGGAGCGAGTTTAACACAATTTTGTTTTCTACAGTAAAGTATTTGTAAATCAGTTCTTGCATTTATATTTTTTGTGTGTGTGTGCGCGCTTTCCAGATGGCCTTTGCAAAAGGTTGCACAAATTGAGTCTGATTGTTCTGGAAATTATTTCTAGTTAAAAATGAGTTTTTTCTCTGCACAGTCGCAGCATGTATGCTTGGGTAAGGGGTTGCTCCAGTAAGTGACATTACAATGCAAGCAAATGTCTACTGTTGCTATATGCTTGTTAGAGGAGCAAATTGTGCAAGGTGAATGGGTCAGTAAAATCTGCTGGTTTACCATGAGTATAAAACTTAATTTTTCAGTAGATTTGACTGAATTAAAAATGTTAAGTGTCTTGAGATGTGTTGTGAATTGATGTTATGTTAATAATGTGAATAAAAAAAAAAAAATAAAGTAATTTAACTTGTCAACCAGAGTGTTTTGGAGTGGTTGGAATATGTTTTTCATTGGTTTTGAGTGAAAGTTGAATGTACTGAATTTCTTTGTAGCTATAGCCACGCTTTTGGTGTACAATGGAATATACTAACAATGTATGCTGCTTCTTTTGGCTTTTAATAATTTATAAAAGTGAGAAAAAACAAAATGGAAGTGAGACCTGCAAGGCAGAAAATTTTGGCATGACATATGTGGTCTAAAAACACCTTCCACTGACCATTAGGCTAAATCTGAATGTAGAGAATATGGTAAATATAAGCCCACGACTCAGCAGGCCCACATACTTTCCTATTTTAAATTCAGACATTTCAGAAAAACTACAATACTATGAAACCGTGATATTTAGGCATAAAGTGATGATCCAGTAAGAATGTCATACTGGTCCATGCACTATTGTACTGTACGTATTCAAGGTAGACTTGAAGGATCTCTGGGGATAGGGACTTACTTTTGAGGGACTCTGAGAATATGATAACAGTGCAGGAGGTCAGAGCTACATTTTTCTGCTCCACCAGTATACATAACGGGGAGCCATCTGCTCGGACATCCTGCAGGGCCCGGGTGAGGCCTGATTCCGCTTGAAGGTAGAGCATTTCCACTGACAGGCCACGCTCCTGCAAGGACAGGCTTAGCGATTTGGGGTAATCCCTTTGAGAGGAAGAGAAACACTTTGTTAACTAGACTTTCCTGTGGAGATAAATGGTTTAGTTTGAATTATTTTAAATCAACAAAGAAAATAAATTATCTCTTTAGTGCCAGGTGCTGATCAAGTCTTTTCCAGATATGAAATGTGCAAGAACTATTTTTATCACTCAATATGTATCTTTGCATGTTTTTTTTTTTTTTTTTGAGAAATAATCAGTAACCATTTAATTAGAAACACCACTTCAATGGTTTTTAAATGCAAATGTATAAATAGTCAATTGTAGCACTGCAGTACAGCTGAAATTATTTTTCCCAAAAAGAAAGTCAAATGCAGGGTTTCTCAACCCTGGTCTTAAGTACTTGCTGTCCTTCCTCTTTAAGACGCCTCTGTAAAATACCACACCTGATAGAAAACCAAAGCATTACCCTCTCAGCAGCCATCCAATGCTGCAGAAGCCCGATTACACTCAATTCAACAAGGTAAGGTCTGTGGTAGCTGGGAAATGCCTAAAACATGCAAGGCAGTGGGCCCTGAGGACCAGGAACAACAAACTATGGTCTAATGTAGGCCTCCCCAAACTCGGGGAGGTTTCCCTGCTTAAACACAGCTGATTATAATCATTGCAGTAGACCAAAAGTCTGTTAATCAGCTTTCAATTAAAATCAGCTGTGCTGGAGAAAGGAAACCTCTAAAACCTGCAGGACAGAACCCTCGAGGACTGAGTTTGGGGATGCCTGGTCTAGTGTGTCTTAGATGCGCTCTCTGCATATCCTGAACTACAGTCACTGCTCTGAACTTAGGTCAGAGACGCCATTGGAACGAGGGGTGTCTGACTATTAAAACTATCCTCCCACTAATGCCTTCCAGTACCATTTGTAGCCACACCAGCTCTTTATAAACTAAATGTTTGAATTAGACAATTGCTGTTTGAATGTTTTATCTCTTGATGTATATTTCAGCAGAAACCATTGCAATTGTGTGTGCAAAATAACGACTGAGGTGGTCAAATATAGGTTGAACGATAATGATGTTATTTGGGGAAAAGTGTTGATGTTTTTGCTGTCAGGTGGATGAAAAGGTCTGAATGAAAGCATTTACATTGTTCATTGGTGGGTTTTTCGATTGTGGGGGTGTTACTGAATGTTTTCAAAATTTGAGTGAAATAGCTGGTGAACAAGTTGTTTCTGTCAAATTCCATTTAAAATACTGAAATTGTTTTATTGGGAATCTATTTCTTTGTATTTTTGAGACCATTTTGTTGAATGTGGTGTGGGAAGAATTGAATGGATAAGTCATTAGTATGGAAGCCATATTTTTTGTATTTGCATATGAAACCCCTAACTTCATTTTAACTTCCTTATTACAGAGACTTGTCAAAACTAAAATTTACAAAAAGCACATCATATCCCATTCTTTTATATTCAAACAAAATGATTTTCAGAATGGAAGAGGAGCGTTAACTTTCTATTTTCCCCCTAAACATGGCAGTGTGGAATCTTTTGTTCCACCCCACACCAGTTCTTTTTTTTGTTTGCATTTTTAAACACACGCTTAGATTTTAATGTTTTAAAGCATTGTAAAGAATGTTTTACTTTCAGTTTTCTGTTGAACGAAACCCCAAAGTAGAAAGTATTTGTACTTTTGACATTGTCATTGTATTCAAAATAAACAAAAACTTACCTGTCTGGTGGAGGAACCACATCCCCGTTATCCAACAACAGCCAAAAAAGCGATTTATCTTTAAATGTTTTGTGGAATTGAAACAGGTGAATTTATTCAAGTGTATAATGACTAAGAAATAATAATTTTATTAGAAAATCAAAACAGGAAGGTGCTTAAATAATTTTTTTTTTTTAATCCTGAAACTGCAATAAAACAAAGCAAGCAAACAAGTTGTTCCTACATGTGAATGTTAAAAGAAACAAGGTTTTAATGTAGATGTCAACATTATATATTGTGTTGCACAAGTCGTGGAAATAATCAGTCTAGGCCATTGTAGCAGTGATGTGTGAGGATGGTCGAAAGTTTCAACGTTTGTGTTTTTGATATGAACTTCTGGTGTTCTGTTTTGTGCAGAAAAAAAAAAAAAAGAAAAAAAGATGTCTGGTCTGATTCTTAAGTGGATACAACATGGAGCTCAAACATTTCAACACTGATATTTTAGTTTGTTTTAGCTCCTGGAATAAGTTGTTAAATGTTTTCTTACCTTTTCGAAGTATTCGCTTCTCTTTAGCCAAAAGTAGAGTGAATGTTTACTCTGCTTTTGTTTGACATTTCCTTTTTCATTTGAAAATTATGTCATTTTTAGTGAAGGTTATTTGTGATTAAAGCCATTTTATGATCACCTGGAAGCTATGAATACAACTGCCATCACATTGGCTACAAATAGTTGCAACTGTGAGATATTTCAATAAAATGTGTCAATTTACATTAATTATCTGGTTTAATAGAAAGAGTTAACTTCCTTGGGGATTCAAGGAGTCTTATTAAACTCTAAACCATTTGGAGCAGAGTTATTAAGTTGAACAGCTGAAAGAACAAAACTCACAAGAACTTGTTTGTGACAGAGAGGACCACGCAGTCAGCTGGCTTTCTTGCCTCCTGGACTTGCTTGTAGAACTTCTGGTATAGGGCTTTACGCCTTTCTGCCGGAGTGACAACCTCTGCTTTGACTGGAGGGTTTAGGACTGCAATTTACATGGAAATACAGCAGGAATTAGTCAGGGTTGATAGAGGACAGTTCAGTCATGATGGAGGTAGTTTGAAGGGGTAATTTTATAATGAAAATGTATATCTGCTATATAAAAAAAACAAATGTCTTACCACTTGGCTGTGGCTTGTATGTTTCATATGTCACACTAGTGGAGTAACCCTGAAGCTGCTCAAGTTCTTCATAACTGGGGACAACAATATTTTGAATTAGCGGGATTTCCATGATATTTAACAAAGTCATAAAAAAATGCATTTATGTGCATTGAAAATCCAGACCGTTATTTTAAATGCAAATGCAATACAGTCATTTGTATTTATACAGTTGATTAATTTGTACATGTTAACACTATTAAGCTCCTACAGTTAGAAGAACAGGTACTTGATTTTCAAGATTGTCCCATTTGTCGTTCCCAACTGGAATTCAGTGGAGTTTATATTAAATTATTGGGGTTATACTCATCCGTCTTTCCACAAAAAAGGTGGAGTTTAAACCAGAAAACAGAATTTTTATCATAACACACCAGATGACCATCTCCAATTCCTCTGGATCATCCAGATGGTCCTTGGCAAACTGCAGACAGACCTGGTTATGGGCTGGCTTGAACAAGAGAACCTTGCCTGCACTGCAGATTTTAATTTATGGCAGCATAGTGTGTTATAAAGAGTGTTCTTTCTTTCCTAAGTTGTGGTAATTTGTTACAGCTGAAATAAAAAGGAAACAGCCAACAACAGGTGTTTTTGAAGACCTAGTTGATGCAGAATGCACTGCTGCAGAAACCACAACAATTGCAAGTCAAAAATCTAGAGCTAACTTTTCAGTGTGACAGCAGTCAAATTCGTTTATTCACTTTAACTTAAAGAACAACTTGTACAAACAAAATATTTTAACACAAAAAAGACAGATCGTAACTGGTACTAAGAAAAAAGTTAAATATTGTTCCCTTGCTACTTGCAAAAGTAGCACACAGTTTTCCTTTAGGGGTGGACCATGGACATCGATAGACCCCACATCATCGGGTGGGGGGCGTGCCAACAGAGTGGCCATCTAGGGTCAGATCAAGCTGCGGTCAGAGACAATATGCATCAACTGAGGCAAATCCTACTTTATTAGTTCAGACACTTTAATTCCAGTGAACTTTCAACCAATTTCCAGAGAAATTTGCTGACTATAAAAAACATTTCACTGGCTACAACTGATTGATATTAATTATTTTCTTATTTATAACTTTTCAATTTCAGGAGGAATGGAGGACTAGTGGTTAGTGCATAAAGCTTGGAATCCTGAGGTTCTGAGTTCGAGCCCCACTCCCACAGACTCTGGGTCTCTGAGCAAGATGCTTAACCCCAAATTGCTCCCTGCACGCCCCTGATGGCAGCTCCCCATGGGCAAGGGTTAGGGTTGTCACGATACTAAACTTTTCAACTCGATACCGATACTAAGTAAAATATTCGATACTCGATACCCTTTTCGATACCACAAGAATTAAAACAAAGACTCTAAAATTCAACAGAAATATTTCATTACTAAAAAAATACAAGAAATAAATAAAAAAAACAATAAGAATAATATTTTGTGGTTGTATGCTGTGCTTAATATTAAGCAAGCTTGATGAAAACCTTACAAAATTAAAATTAAGTGTTCCTTCCTTGGCTATGTTTTGCAGACATAAAAATGACACTAGCCAAACCGGTTAAAAAACAAAAATAATTCTCAGCAGCTGCACCTGTTACAAAAAAAGTCTGAAACTGAAAAATGCACAGAATTATTCAATCACAGTGTTCAGAAAGTGCATTTTCCTCTATTCTGCACTTTAGATGGCTGTACCGATACTTTTGAAAATGAGTATTGTATCCCGATACAACGTTTCAGTATCGATACTTTTTTGAGTATCGATACTTTTGACAACCCTAGTTAGATGCAGAGGTAAAATTTTTCAATGTGAGATCAAAATAGTCCAATAATTACTATTATTACTTCCTAGCGATGCGATCCATAGCGATGGTGATCTGTTATTAGGAATACCCAGCAGCAGCTTCCGCAGGACTGGTTTCCTCTTGGGGGTTTTCCTGTACTGTTCATGGCGACTAGAAGTAGATGTCCCAGACAGCTCCCAGATCAGCTTCTCTGATTGGTTAATGCGGCACATACAACAGTAAAAATTTAATTTTTCCATCTCCAACAGTTGCTGTTTGGGAAACGCACCAGAAGCTCAGGAGGTGCTGCTCCTGCCACTCTAGACAAGCTGCAGGACCTTTTGATGGGCATCAACCATAGACTTTCCATGTAAAGAGGCTGCTTCTGCTCCCCAAAGCTTTTTAGGTGTGAACGTAGCACAAGTCTGGAAATATTCCCCAGCCTTAAGTCCAATTAATAAATCTATGCAGGATTAAAACATGTAGCTTTATCTTCAAAATCAACTAACTGTGCCTGCATCCTTTTCTCCTAAAAAGTATTCATTGTGTCCCAAAAACTGCCTTCTGGTGAGCAACACGCCTGTATCACCAGGCTTGTTATAATCAATTGACAAACTTGCAAAAACATAAATTTTACATCCTATCAGAAGAGATTCTATTTTATTGCATCGTTTCTAATAAAATTAAAGATCGCTAAACTGTATGGTTAAAATCAGATCTTATTTATGGAAACATATTGCTGACAGGCTGCAGGTTGAAATATAATTTGGGTTAAACTTTGGTTCAACTCCGTATTTATTTAGGTTGGTGGTAGTGAAAAAAACAAACCATGGAAACAAGGACAGAGAAAGCAAACAATCATGGTCTAAAAAGACCAGTTCCTTGTTCTAAGTGCATCCTAATCTCATCCCACTGCATGTGTCATGTTTTTGTGCTAGCCGCTTTACCTATCCAGGGCATCCTTTAGCTCCTCGGTTCTTTCTTCTCTGCTCGGGTATGGAGCCGATCTCCGAAACAGGCGCAGCTGCTGAGCACTGCAAATAAAAAAAAAATAAAACATTTCAAACATTAAGTTTTTGATACTACGGGTATATGAGTGAGAATCGGTACAGAAAATTGCACCCGTAACTTATTATTTGCACCTGCTTTAGTGCAGGCTAGCTGCTAACGCTAAAGATGCTAACCTTCCGTTTGAATTGCCAGACGGCCTCCGAACACCCGCGGCTGGCTTGGCCCAAGTCGACATTTTCTAGAAGTCCAGCTGAACCTCGAATACAAACACCTTCAAATATACAGAGTGGAAAACAGTCCTGCTTATATCCCTCCTCTGGCGGAGCGTGGAAACACCAGAGGAAATGATGTCTCAGAAAAAGGAGGAGGGTAGCCGCTCTGATAAGCACAGTGTCTGGCAACTACCGCCCCCTAGCGTGCTGTAGATGTAACAACTTTATTTTGAACGTTAAGTCTTAAGAAAACCAGCAGTCTTCCCCTGTGCTGAAATGCTGAACTAAGGCTGAGACTAGAGTTATTTGCCAAGAGTTATGCTTATTTATCTGATGATATTATAACATTATTTTTCTTAATAACAAAAAAGTCTGAGAATGACCAAACTGTGTTTCTATCCCATTTTAGTTTTATATAGAAAAGGTTTTCTTTTGTTGTTGTTTTTTGTTCTGTTTTAGTTTTATCAATTTGGCTACTATCAAATCAACTATTTTATCAAAATTTTATCAACTTTTATCAAATCAACTACTAGGTTTATCAAAACCAGTACTTGAGTAAAAGTATTGATAGTTATTGTCAAATCTAACTCAAATACAAGAAAAAGTTAATGGGTTATACATCTACTCAAGCTAAAGTATTGAAGTACTCCTTTACAAATATAATACTTATAAAATACAGTATTGAAAAGTAAATGCATTAAAAAAATGTTTTCTAATATCAGTACATTTCTGTTTAATTTTCTGAGTAATTTTAAAGTACCTTGTAACTTTCGGAAACCACCTGATGTACTGATGCGAAGTAAAGCACCTCAGCATAAAAATATCACAAAAAAATAACGACGGCTATTGTGATTGTAATTTCTCATTTAAAAGCAAACCAACAATATAACAAGAGTATCTTGATTCTCCTCACATTTTCACTATGGACTAGAGGTTTGAGGTTGAATCTATTATGACAAAGAAATTGCAATTCTGATTTGAGAATTCATCCTACTGAATAACTTGGCCACATGGCAACAACCAAAGCCTTAATAAAAATTCTAAATGTGTGGAATGTCATGCAAATATACAAAACAGTGGCATCCAAATTCAGTCCTATGGGCTGCTATCCTGCATTTCGAAATTGCATTTTAAATAAATGAAAAACAGCAACAGTGGATTGCAAAGCTAAGCTGAGCCAAAAGTAACAAGTACTTAGCAGCTTCATAAAATTGAGTAGAAAACAAAAACTTAGGAGGGCTACTTTATAAAGCCTCAAATTCAACGCTTCTTCCGACATTTTGAATTGAAAAAGCTTCCTGAATAGGAAGCGAAATGTCTTCAAACTTGGAAACAAAGTTGTTAAAGATAGGCTCTGTGTACGCACCCTGATGCTCTATCTTTCCGGTTCTTTTCCCTGAAAAGAGATCACCTGGGACAAACTCTTTAAATAACACTTCATAACTTATATGTATTAAATAACCAGGAGACATGACAACAGATTTTGATAGAAATTGTAATCTTACTCAGATCAGAGAAGTTGCTTAGGGTTACAGAACAGCAGCTGCTCACCTCTGGGCTCACCTCTCAGAAAATGGCCTCGATTAACAGTTAAAAAGGTATTTTACATCTCCAGTCTGCCACATCATTATATTTTACATCATAGCAGTTGATTAGACATCCGTGGCTGTAGCCTTATCAAAATAGCACACCCCTCTCATTCCATTTCCAAATCTTTACCATGTACAAAATGAAGATTATAACTGTATATCCAGACAGAGGAAATCTCCTAATTAGATTAAAACATCAGTTCTGATGCACAACAGGCAGCCCATACCAGGGTGTGATAAACTCACACATCTTTAATGATAATTATCATAACAAAGTCCAGTGGATTGTGTTTTTTTTTGTTGTTTTTTTTTTTGTTTTGTTTTTTTTACTTTTTGGGGATTTACCAAAAGAAATTCTAACTATTGCAACAATGCAAAAAAAAAATAAAAAATCATTTTGAGAACCCAGAGATACCTTTGATTCTTTTAGTGCTAGAAGATTAATCAATTTTTATCACTTAATTTAAATCTTTGGTTATGAAGATTTAAATTTAGAAAAGAAAATCATGATTTTTCTTCTTTTTTTTTTTTTTTTTAACCAATCAACTCCCTGGACTTCCAAAACTCAGACTGACATCAGTCAATCATTTTTGTTCTGAGAAATGCACTCATAAATGAAAGAATAGCTCACCGTGAGAGACCACTGACTGCAAACATTTAGTGTGTTATATTTTCATTGTTTGTTGTAAAACATTTTTATTTTACAGCTTATTTCACAAGTTGAATTCTTTCTCCCTATAAATAAAGGTAATCTACCAGATTGGATGATTGAAATAAAAGCTAGTTTTTGTAATTACAGTATGTCACATGTCATTTTTATCATGAAACTTAGGTGAGAAAAAGAATGATTAATCTGAATATGGGAAAAAAAATGGATATTTGATTTTTAAGCGATAAGGCCTAGCCCTAGATTCTATGAATCAATAAAAATGTATAACTTCCCCAAAGTAGGGCTAAACCAGTAAAAGCCTATCTTTTCCACAAATATCGGGTCAAATAAAAACCCTGCCATCCATTGCAGGACTTTTACAAATTTGGAAGTTGCATTCATGGTATCATCAAAATGTAATATGAGTCATTATTAGTTATAATTATATGTTTACATTTGCCTATTGCAATGGTCAGCAACAGGAAATTATGTAAGGCCTGATATGCAGGATATTACCTCCTCAGAAAGAGTGCAACATCCTATGTTTTTATAGAAAATGGTTAATTCCTGACAATATTATCTGTTTGAGTAAAGAGATGGGTATAGAGTTAGTTTCACCGAGTCAACCATGTGCAAAAGGCCCAAATGTGTTTCATTTACTCTGAAACCAAAAATATTCGTGAAAAAGTAATTTGGGAACTTGTTTTTGAAAGATATAATAAGCCTCTTGTAAGGAAATAATAAAAAAAAATAGATTTTGTTTCACATTGTTTAGATATGGAATTTAAAAAGTTGTCTAGGCTGACCCATGGGTCACCAAACCTGTACTTATAGTCCTCAAATCATCAAGAGCCTCACATAATTGCTTTAATTTTTTAACAGAACATATATTCATTTTTTCTATTTAATCAAAATAAGAATTTTGATATTGCAGCAAAAAACGTTTAATGTTCTTTTTATAATATTTGTAATGGAGAAATGGCATAAAAAGAAAAACATGTTCTTGCTCCCATCCACACAACTTCGGCCCTCCACTCTGTATCAATTATTTTTTCGGTATTAATTTGAAAAACGTACAGTTAAGAAAAAAAAAGACATGCCACACCTCATCGTCATTGACAAAGTGGCAAACAGTTGCTTCAAATATTTCTTTCTATGGTTTATTTAAGGTTTTTTTTCAGGTTCCTCAGCGTGACACTCATGCACGCCCCCGTCAGGTAGCGTGAGCGCGCCGCGGCGCTGACAGACGCCATTTTATTTTGAAAATCAAACTGATCTGAAGGCGCTGCAACCCTTCCATTTCATCAAGTTTGTTGTGGGAAAACTAGAAGGAATGACGATCTGAAATACTTTATTGGAAGCACGGTGAGACCGAGAACGCATTTAACATACAACAATCGGCATTATTACATACAAAGCAAAAGCAGAGACATAAAAAGGGGGGTATCTCCATTTTTACCAGCACAAGGAGGGGTCTAATTCCTGAAAACAGCTGTCATTTTCGTAAGCAGAAAAGTAGTAAATTTGTAGTTAAAACATATTAAGTTTCGAGCTAAACGTGGTAACCTAGATGTGTCTATGGTTTGTATCCGAAAGCGAACCCTTACATTTTCTTGAATGGAAAATAATAGAGTGGCTTCCGATATCAACGTTTGTAGCTACGTTAGCATATTCAGAGATTAGTTGGAGCCTCGGCAGCAAGCTAGCAAGGCTAACGTTACCGTTTGCGATCTATATATCGTAAAACAAATTTCCAGTGTTTCAAATTAAATCTCGAAGGTGAATGTTAGAATCCCGAAAAAATAGGAATAAAGACCACTTGACTTAAAACGGGGAAAGTTACCACTTATTTGTGTCCGTTTTGTGCACAGTTAGAGGAAACATGCTCTCACAGCTAACGTTAGCCTCTCGCCAATGCTAATGTAGTCATTTTTAGCGTTAGAGAGCATTTTAATATAGTATGTGCCCATCTTTTTTTAAGCTGTTGAATATATGAACTTCGTTTTATTAAGACGTCTAATGAAGGTTTATAAACTATGTTTTGGTGGTCTTTATGTTTTCTTTCTTGTACATATGTTAGCTAGGTCCTTAATGGTGTTTACCAGCGTCATTGTGGTTAGCTGATCCACACACTTAGCTAGGGTTCCTTCCTAGGTTACTGGAGTGTGGCCGCTGAAGAGTCCAACTTTCTGTAAAACTAGTAGAATCCCTACATATCGGTAGCATTTGATAAATGGACTTATTTGAATCCCCCCCCCCCCCTTTCCTCGCGTTAGCTTCTACGGTTTGCTAGTATGTATTAGCACGGTCTTTGTCTGTGTAGCGACATTTGTTATTTTTAATCTATTAAGTTGGCAATATAAATAGAAGTAGTCGACAGATTTATCACAGCGTGAGCTCTGTAAAGTTGTAGTCTAAATTTGGGGAAAAAATGATAAACGTAATTTAACTTTATAACACATAAAGACTAGATTACATTTGTTTTGGCCTAGTTGGCCAGTTTTTATTCATGAAAACTCTGGTTCAGATTTGATTTGTTTTAAAATCTTTTAAAATCTTATTTTGATCATAGGTGTTGAAACAACAATATTTCCCTTTTTGTTTTTCCACACATAAAAGTTTGGCTTACAACTGGTGTTTCAAAAGTGCCCAGTTACAAATGACTCCTTTCCCAAATCACTTCACATCATAATTTCATGTTAGAATTTAACAAAACAGGCCAACCTGTTTACTTGTCCCTTTGTGCTCTGAGAAGGTTGCAATTACTGGGTTTGATCCCCACAGCCCTCACTCTGGGTTCCTGAGCAAGACCCTTAACCCCACACTGCTCCCCGGATGCTGCAATGGCAGCCCGCTACTTCCCAAGCGGATGGGTTAAATCCAGAGATTAATTTATCCAATGTGAAATCAAATAA